TCCGACCGCCCCACTAACCCTCCCTCCTCCCTCCCCTCCCCTCCCTTCCTCCCTCCCCCTCCCTTCCTCCCCTCCCCTCCTCCTTCGTTCTTGCCTGACGTAGAGCAGGCAGCATAACCTCCGACAGCAGCAACTTGGTCATCTCGACCAACGCGCAGGCAGGACGAGTGCTGGGTGAGGCGAGGGGGAGGAGAGGAGGAGGGAAGGGCTAAGATCGAGCAGGAGAGAGGCTGGGGCTGTCTGAGCTGCTGCCTGCGGTCTGCGACAACACGTGCGGAGGTTTGCTGGTCTCTCGTCCCCTCGTCTTTCCTCCTCTCAACCCCAACGACCTCCGGCAACTCCCGCGGTGCTGCCACTCAGTCTCTTACCGCCCTCTCACTCCCCTTCATAGGCCCCCGCCCCTCCCCGCTGGCTGCACGACTATCGCTGAGGCCAAGCAAGACACGTGCGGCTGCTTGTGACATAGATGAAGTCTCTTACGCCTCGTTCTCCTCCTAGCCCCTTCAACTTCACCCTCCCGTCTCCCCTCGCACTCTTTCCTTCTACTTGGAGCCACAGTAGCAGCAATGCGGTAGTGATGAGCATGCGGGGATGGCAGGCATGGTGATGCAATCGACACCACCACAAGCACAAGCACAAGCACAAGCACAAGCACAAGCACAAGCAGAGCATGAGCAGGGTGGGCCGAGAGGAGCAGGAGGAGTAGGAGGAGGGGCAGAAGCCGGGGTAGAAACAGGGGCCTCTAGGAGACCTCCCTTGTCGGTCAACAGCGTGAGGCAACTGGCAAGGCCTATGCCACTCCGCAAGCATTGCGGGGGGTCAGCGTGAGCATCGTAGAAGAACAAAGCAATGATCATGGTAGAACCAGGCATTGATTATCATAGTGGTGTTGTTGAACATCTCACTGTACAGCGAGTAAGACAAGAAGGACCCTTCGATGCGGGAGGCAAGCTGCTTCATTTCATGAAAAAGCATCTTTGTTCTTTGTGAGGTTGCATGAGACATGGTCAAAGACCATCAGCCTTGCTGCCATCCACACCTGCAGCATCCGTGGCTTGACGTTGAGATCATGGGCACCATAGCTGACTTGAAGGCCGCGAAGGGCTGCTGGAGGGCGAGACGGCAGCGACTTAGAAGGGAGAGCAAACACTCGAGGTAGATGGATGATGCTTCAATGATCTTGAGCTTCCAATAGTACAAGCAGCTCATGTCGAGCCACCTTGACTCCTTTCAGCTCCACAGGCTCAACGACAGGATTTGAGAGAAGATCAGCCACAAGCACATTCACGAGCACTTCCTCCCCTCCCCTCCTTCCTCCCCTCCCCCTCGTCCTCCTCGTCCTCCTCCCTGTCGACGTCGTCGTCCTTCTCCTCCTCCTCCTCTGCCTGACCACTAGATGGATCGTCGGAGGGTTCTCCCGATTTCAGATGTACCGGTACTTTACACTTGGATTACCCTGCATGGGTGGGTAGGGTGGTGCCGAAGATGAAGTCAGGAGGGGAGCGGCGACATGCGCTGCGATACGCATACAGGTGAAGGAGAAGAGGCGAAAATGAAGGGAAGCATGGGGGAGAGAGGCGGGAGAGCGAGAGCAGGAAAAGACAATGAGAGCGGGGGCGAAGAGGAGGAGGGGAAGAGGGAGGAGGTGGAGGAGGAGAGCTGGTGTGTGGGCTGGAGAGAGTCATCAGAAGGTTGCTGATCAAGGAGTGGATAGGTTTCATTTCCTGCAAGACAACGAGGACGAAGAAGGTCACATCCACGACAAGACTGCTGACGACTTGACCTCCACCGGAAGTTTCGACAGCGTGGAGGCCTTCTGGTCCTACTTCCATCACCTCGTCCGCCCCTCGGATCTGCCCAACAAGCACGACTGGTGCATGTTCAAGTGTGGGATCCTGCCGTTCAGTCACCACCCAGACAATGTGGGAGGAGGGAAATGGACGGTGAGAATGAGTGGAAGAGGAGAGAGGAGGTTGACGATGCGTTGAAGCTGAGGCTCAAGAAGACCCTCAACATCAACAGAGTGTGGGAAGATATCATGCTCGGAGTGCTTGGAGGAGTAGACAACGTCGATGAGTACATGTGAGATGAAAGATGGAGATTGGGGAGTAGAGGGTGTGGGAGAGGCGGAGCGAGGGAGAGGGAAAAAGGGGGGGGCGGGGAAGGAGGGAGAAAGGGAGGAGGAGGGAGAAGACGGAGGTGCAAAGTTGATCCTGCAAACAGAAATGGAGTAGTGATCTCATCAAGGCATGATGAAGACATTATCTCGGTGTGGACCAACCACAGGTGAAGCAGCCGCTAGCTTCTCTTTGCTCCGATGACTCTGAATGTGTCTTGACGGGCAAACAACAGAAATCGCGGGAAAACCATTCACATTCGACTAGTGCTCATGAGGCTGTTGGCATACACCAAACAGGTGCTTGCAGCCTGCTTGTCTTGTCTCTCTCCATCTGACGCTGCTTGTCTTGTTGTCTCTCTTCGTCTGACGTCGCCCCGTCGCTCACTCACAGACTTGGGAGTTCAAGAGGTTTTCACACGTGAACGGGACGACGGAGACCCTGAGATACTCCTTGGCTGACCTACAGCAAGTTCGTTCTTCTCCTCCTCACTCCCTCTTCCCCTCCCCCCTTTGCTCCGATCTCCATCTCCGCCCCGTGTCTTTCCCCTTGTGCCCCTTCCATCCACTCCACTTGTCTTGCATCTCCTCGTGCTCGCTGACTCTCCTCAAACACTCACGTCTGCTTCTGCTTCTCTCCCCTCACCTTGATCGTTACAGTTGAACTCTCCCGCTCGTGACCCTCCCATCTACGTGTGGGAGAGCTACGAGGTCTACCAGGAGCTCAAGATCGGTAGACTCCTCCTGCTCCTGCTCCTTCCTTCGCCTACTCAACTGTCCTCTTCCCCATCTCGCAGATTCGCTACAGGGCACAGATTGACCTGGAAGCAGGTGCACAGGGAAGAGACCGTAGGAGAGTGGAGGATCAGGAAGACTCGAAGAACGGGGATGGAGGGCGAGGGATGAGAGAAGAGGAGGACGAAGAAGAGAATGCGGCGACGGGAAACGTGTCCATGTCGATGAAGGCGCAAGAGAAGGAAACGAAGACCTGATTGAATGGCTCGCATGAAAGCAATGAGCTCGAGGGAAGGGAAACAGAGTTGGGGAGCAGGGGGGGATTAAACTTGTTCATATCTACAAATCGAGTCGATCAGGAGCTTCTGAGCAGGCGATCTTCCAAGCTGAGGTGAGCAGGTCAGTGCTGGAGTTGAGCTGAGGAGGGTGACCTGTAGTATTCGGCGAGGAGGCGGTAGATGTAGGAGGGGTTGTGACCTCCTGCGTTGGTGATGAAGAGAGAAACTAACTCTGAGCAAACGTGAGCCGAATACCTCATGCTGAACCTCACGACCCATCATGTCATGTCATGTCATGTCACCGTTCAAACCTCACCACGTACATCAGATCACCTTATACCATTTTTCCTGTACCACATAGAGCACATCTCGCTTCCTCGCATTGTATCAAATCACTTCATCTCAACCAGCAACTACACAAAGCAGAGGCATATCATCTCTGATCGTATCCTACCCATCCTCCCTCATCCTTCACCTCCTCTCTCCCCATCACTGGCATCAACATCACCGGGAGGAACATAGTCTGAGGTAGGATTTAACACCCTCACGATCCGCGGAATCGCCTCGTCCCCTGTTAACCCGTCAAAACTCCTGCACACACACACACACACACACACACACACACACCTCCACCCCCTCCCCTCCCCCTCCCCTCCTCCGCCCCTCCCCTCCCCTCCCTTCCCCTTCCA